TGCTTTTGTTACTGGTTTACTTGTCCCTTATGTCTTTCTCGCTGGACTATAAGCTCTACAAGCACAAGAATCAGACCTGTCTCTGGCTGATGCTGGAATCCTGACATTCCTAGTTCATTGTGCCTGGCATGTAGGTGGCACTCAGTAAATATTTCCTGAATGCAAGAATGCGTTTCAGTTTGCTCCTCTGTAACATGGGGATATTAGCCCATGTCCCCTAGCACTGCATGAAGGTCAAGGCAGATGGAGAATGAATGTCAAGGCCTAGCCCAGAGCCATGGCCCAGTGTACATGGGAGTTGTGCCACTTAGTTTTGAGAAAAACCAGATCCAATAAGGGGAGAAAAAGTGAACCAGAAACTGCCTGGAGGGAGCACCAGAAGAGCTCTCAACAGTTCCCCCATCCAAACCCACCTTCTACCTGACTCCCCAGAGAAGGGGCCCCATTGGCCCAGCCCCTCCCACCTTCGAAGGACAACTCACCTGGGACCAGGCTCCCGTCCGCCACGGGGCTGGGCAGGGCACTCGGAGGCAGGGCCGCCGGGCCTCAGGCCGGTCCCCGGGGCAGGCCTTGGCTGGCATGGTCTTATGGGTACCATTGGAGAGGGGCAGCAGGCATTGTACCCCCCGAGTCTGCACCCCCAGTTTCCCACAGCTCCGGCTACAGGTGCTCCACTCCTCCAACACCCACCTAGAAAAAGGCAGGGCAGGAGGTGGAGGGAGGTGGGACCATGGAGACACTTCTTCCCAGGGTCACTCCCACCCACTGAACCACTGCAGGCAGGAGCCAGAGAGTGGACTTGGGCTTCCGAATGCTTGGGGACCAAGACAGCCGTCCAGCTGGCTCTGCAGCTAGTTGTCAAGTTGTGTGGCCTCAGGAAAATCACTTAATGTCTCCTCTGTCTCCTCATCTGAAAAATGGGTATAATGCATTTTAAAATCCTGGCACCCTGCATATCCTTGGGCTAGCTATTAACCCCTCTAAACCTCAGTTACCCCATCTTTACATCAGGAGTCTTTCGACACCTCATAAATATTTACTTGAATG